ATTTGTGACTGATGGTTCGAGAGTTACTTAATTCATTATATGTACAGCCTTCAAAGTGCCAAATAAGGAAGGGAAGCAAGGGCCTTTGGAAGCCTAAGTGTTGTGATGGAAGGCACATTTTACACTCTATTGTAGTCAGTTTCAAGTAGGAATTTTTAGAAAACTGAAGTCCTTTGAAAGAACAAAAAATTCAGTACATAACAGTACAAAGGTTTCACGTCAGAAGCCTGCTGTTTCAGAATATTCCTAAGAGCAAGCTGACAACGCAGTCATTGTGTTTAAAGAGAAACTTTTCCACGTATTTCCTGTCTTTAATCTTATTTTAACTCGTAAATTCTGTGTGATATAAGGTGCTCAAAAGCTAGAGTCCTTCTGCTACAAAACCATGATCTGGTTTCACTGATTGTGGGTTTCAGTGGGCTCACATGCACGGTAGGTAGGTGTGATAGAATTATTTGCATTGCAATGGTAGCAGGTAGCGTATAGTGTGCCTACTTACACTCCAATCTAATAACACACTAAAAAGCTAAAACCTTCCTTTAAGATTTGAGACCTGTAAGAGCACCAGACAGGAGTGACAGACAAGGTTGCAGGATCCATATGGACTACTATATCACTAGATCTCACAGGCAGCACCAAGGTAAACAAACATGTTTTTGATTTCTCCTTTACATAAGTATCAGTGTCGATACTTTTTAGGCAATATGGGTGCTGTACTGACCCCAAACAGTGAGACTGCTAAACATCACCTGTATTAGTTAGACAGTAATTGTAACTGAGCTGAACTACTGTCCCTTCAGCAGCATTAAAATACATAACGCTGTGCAGAGCTTCTCTGCGGCACTGGAAGCAGCCCAGCTGGAGCAGAGGCCAGTGTGCCCTGCAAAGGGAAGGATGCCTTGCTGGAAAACAATGACTTGAGCCTCAGTTGAAAGGATGCAGACAGAGGATCATGTACCTGTACCTGCATGGTCTCAAACATATCAAAAGTAGATTCAGACACTACTGCAGCTGGATTAGAAGTGCTTTTGATAGATGGAACCTATTCTGAGGCTTGTCTGCTCCCTCTGACCAGGGTGTACCACACCTCTGATTAAAGAAAGTAAGTGAGTCTTGTCATTTGTTAAGGTGGCCAGCAACATACTGTATTGTAGGCTTCCACATTTGTCACTGAGACTCAAATCCAGTAAGCAGGTTAGCCATTAGGCCAGAAGCCAGCATAAGCACTGTCCCTTGCTATCTCAGGTGACTTGCTACCCGTCACATTTTAGAAGGATGATTTTATTGCCAGGCACTTGTTGACTTCCACCATAAGTAAAAAGAATGAACTAGGGCAATGTCAAAGCCACCATTCCCTTCAGAAGAATATAGAAGAAAACAAATGTAGAGGAAATGGTGGCAGATGCTGCTATTTAAAGATAAAATCTTACATTAATAAACTGCAAAATTATTAAGAATGAGATCTACATAGACACATATTCAAAGGGTAAAGTATGTAAGATTTCTCCTATATGGCAGCAGTTCAAAAATTTTAGCATGAAACTTTGGACTGAATTAGCTTTGAATTCATGAGTGTAGCTAAATTAGTGTGCTGCAGATAAAATACGGTGCTGAAGTTACTAGCAGCTAGCGCTCTACTTGAAATTAAACTCCATTATGGTTGCCCACTCGGAGTTATAAAAGAAACAAGATGAGGAAACAAAAAAATACAGGGGTGCAGAAGGGGAGCGAAGGAGTAAGGCAAAAGCCCCAAGATTAAATTTAGATTTTTGTCTCTCTTTGCAAGAAAACTGCACTGTACAAACCAGAAGTACAGGAATGGTACCTAATACATGAAACTAACTGCATGTCCTTTATGTCTCTTGGTGCTTGTATGTTTAAGAACTACATCTATAAAGGTAATTTTTAAAGCCATTTGCACACACTATTAAAAGAGACCCTGGTACCAGTAACAAAAGCAGAATATAAGCTCTGTCCACGAACCCATTAGAAAAGGTTTCCTGTGTTGAAGAAAGGTGCACTTCCAGATGCCCCGAGTAACCAGTGGTCAGTCATACAAAACAAATCACTGAAAGGTACAGAGTGAAAGCCAAAACCAACAGTACTTTGAATTGGTTGAGTAACAGTTAAAATAATTTCTGATTCATTGTGAGAAAGATGGAATTTTTGCTTCTGAAGAGTTTGGGTAAGGAACAAGGAAATTTGAGAGATCAAGACAATTAAAAACTGAAGGATCTGTATTAATACCAAGATTTAAGTTAGATCACCACAGTGAAAATAGTGATTAAGTGGGGAAAGAAATAAATCACGAAGTAAGCGATTCGATCTACAGCACCAGAGTGGAAAACGTGAGGACAGTTCTGTAGAGATGATTGATTTCATGGTGTCTACCTTTAGAGCTGCTGGCATGGATGAAACTCGGTTTGTTTGGTGGGGGTGGGGGCTGGCTTTTTTTGGCAGCAGTACTGTTGGCATTGACTGGAGATGACTGGAATGAGTTGGAAAGAAAGAGGCCATCTGAAACTGGGCGAGGCTGGCGGGAGGGCTGCTGTGGCTTAAGGGTGGCAGGAGGAAAGTCACCATAAGATTTTCTTGTGCTGGAGTACTTATCCTGACCTGCTAGATTGGAATCCTCCTCCTCCTCATCATCATCATTGTATGCAACAAACTTGGCAGTATAAATCGTGTCAGGGGAGAGGACCTGTGTTTTGAGGTAAGAGGTGTTTCGCTGAGGTGGGGGAGGAGGAGCATTAGATGAAGGGGTTGGGGATGGGAGTTCATATTCCCGTGGAAGTGGAGGTCTGTACAGACCAGGCTCGTCAGGTTCCAGCAATCGTCGCTCTGCTTCATCGTGCTGCCTGCGCCTTTCGGCCTCTAAGCGACTGTAATACTCCTCTTCCTGCCGCCTCTGTAGGCCCAGAGGAAACACAAAACACAGTGGTCAGAAAGACAGGCATTTCAGGCTGAGAGAGAGTTCAGTCTTCCATCATCGAGCTACAAACATATTTTTTGGTCTCCTTTTCTGGCAATGAGCAGGGCATCTATACGGACTCATACAAAGAATATTTACTACTATGAAAAAATAAAGGCAGTCGTCCTGTAGCACAGCATTGCTGTTATTTCCAGATTTAACACTGCCTGTGGTAACGAAGGCAACTGCCTGTGTGAACTAAGTGCGATCCCAGCATTTATTACTCAAAACGTAGCTGCAGCTAATAAGGGGCAGATTTAGTGAAGCTATAAAGAGTCTGTGGGAGAGGAAAATTAACTACCATCTTAAAAAAGCTACTTTGTAGTTTTGCTGCATGCAAAAGTATAACTTCTGCTGGGAATGTGTGACATTCTGAACAACGATCCTCTCTGTTTTTAATCCACGTGTTTAAAAAAATCCACCTTATCTGCTCAACACCATGAGTCAGTTATCCTAAAAAAATAAGTATATGTGCTCATGTTCATCTAGAGCAAAACCATGAAACTCATCCTGTTGTACTACTCTAAAAGCACTGCAGTGGTCAGATAGTACTGAGTTCTGAGTAGATGTACAAGTGTCTCAGTCAAGATTTGTCAGTGAAAACCCTTTCAAGTCTGTAATCCAAATATCATTAAGAAATTAAGAAAGCCTTGGTTGGGTTTTTTTGGCTGTTTTAAAAATAAGCTTCCTACAGTGTATTTTTAAATACTTTTCTCAGTCCAGATACACCTTCCTCACTTCTCACCTATCACCACGCCCAGTTTAGGCAAGTCCTCAATCTAAAGAAAAATAATTGTCTTAAATGTGCTTAGAGTCAAATGAGGTGCTTCATCTTCCAGTTTTGGTGATAAAGCTTCTCAAATTTATGTCTAATGTTCTGAAGGAACTTAAGATGCCTGAATTTTTAGGATCTCATTGCACAGTGACTTTCTGTTGAAATTATTTACTTCCTTTCTAGAAAGCAATTAAGCCAGTTCCCTTTCCTCCCACAGTCCAAACAAACATATAGACTCCAAATACGGAGTACTCATCTCCACTCCACTGTATTTCATATTTCTCTCTCTATATATATAAAACAATTACTGCAAAGATATTTAACTGCTGTCTCTGAGACACAGCAAAACCCAACACCACTAACTCAGCCATTATAATAAGATAGGCTAATTGCATTGCGGGGGCTGAAGAAAACCAGGAGGTAACTGATTTCTGCCCTAACTTTCAGAAAAGGCTCTGAAGGCCGTTGCCACTGCTAAAAACCTTCAGCCCCTAAGCCTACAGTACTATTTTGTTAAAACCAGTCAACTCCAGCCACCACAAATGGGCTGGAGCTTAATTTGTTTAATCACTTTTTCTTTTATATTGGATAAACTGAAGCCCTGGGCCATGACCATTACCACTCGGGCTGGCGCGTTTAACCCCTGCTGAGCCAGCGCTGAGCTGTCCCTGGCCCGGCTCAGGAGAAGAGGCCCACAAGAACCCCTGCAGCACTCAGAAGACCACAACCTTTTCTTCTGCCTCTCTCCTGGTCCGCTCCTCCTCTTGCTGTCGGCGCTCTTCTTCTTGCCTGGCCCTGTCCTCAGCTTCTCGTTTGCGCATTTCTTCCAGCTGCTGCTGCCGTCTGCGTTCCTCATCCTGTAACTAACAGAGACACATCTTCAATTTCTTCATCACTGATGTGGATAAGACGGGTCGAAAAAATAAATGTAATGAGTATTTGCATCTAAAAATAAGTAATTCAGTAGAAAATGCTATACTACAGAAAAAGTCAATATAATTTCCAGTTATTAAGAGTATGCTTTGTTTCACTGTTTTCCCTAAAATCCCTTAAATATATATATATATATATATATATATA